TGGGAAGCGGTCGCTGTTAACCCAGGCCCTGACCGATCCTGTATAGAAATCTCCTCCTCGATGTTCCGCATGTTAGATTTTAGAAACATTTTACCCAGGATGCCCTTCTCGATGCAACCCTCCCCATTTATTCAGGCCCGAGACCAGAACTAGAGTACACTGGCTTGTGGCCTGGTCTTATCTATTTTTTTCTTTTTTTTGTAGGTTCAAAGTTTGTTTTTGTTTTTTTTTTTGTGTCATCTTAAGACAATCATGTTGATGTTTACATGTCCCTGGAAATTAATCATTAACAATTCACTCCACGTTTGTGAATTGGAGGGATACAGGTGTGTGAGTGAAGGTGGACGACTTAAAATACCCACGAGCAGCCACTGAAATCAATGCACACTGCAAAAGATGGGTGAAAAAGAGACTGCAGACAGGGCAGGGTGGGTGGTGCTGAGTGTCGGGGGATTTTTGGCAGAAGGATGGTCGCAAGAGTGAAAAGAAAGGTTTACAAGATGGTGGAGAGTCATCATTTAGTGAGTTCTGTTGAGCTTAATTTAGCAGTTTTCAGCGTCAGGAAGATGAGATGGTTTGGACGTGTGTAAAGCAAGGATTGAGGATGCGCTCGGCAAAGGATGTTAAAGATGGAGCTGCTGTGCAGGAGGAAAAGAGAAAGACCGCAGTGCAGATTCCTGTAGTGAAGGAGGATGTGCAGTAGGGTTGGTGTGACAGAAGGTGACACTAAAGATGGGGGGAGATAGAAGCAGCTTCCAGCTGCTCCCCGACTTAAAACAGAGGAACACTCCTACTAGTGAGACAAGCCAGGGCAAATTTTATTTGATGCACATCTTGTATGTCTGATTTATTTTCTGTGCACTGCGATGTGTGCATCTTTTTAATTGTTTTGGTTTCCTTGCCTCAGTTGAAATCCCACCTGCTGTTATATCGTAGGCCTGCTTTTATCTGCGTTTGTGCTGCTGATATAAACGTGTTTGCTGAAGTTGAGCCTCGCAGAGCAAAAACCGACTTTTTCTCTCTCCTTTTTTTTCTTCTCTACCAATTAGGAGACCATGGCGGATTTATAACGCACAGAAAAGTGTCCAACCTGCACATTCATGTCTGCTGTCGTCACCATCTATGGTTGGAAAAGCTTAAGAACAATGGCAAATGTACTGGCTAGAAGAACACCTAAAGGGAAGCGAGAACATAACATCTAGAAAGGCTGTTATACTGCCGGTCCAACAAACCAAAAGGGAAGCGAGAGCAGAGAGCGGGTATTGGGATGGGGTTAAGAAGCCAAAGGAGGACGTCATGGTTCACAGCGGCTCTGCTTCCCCAATGAACACAACACCGTCAGCATCACCTCATTTAACTACAGCACCTCCTTTAGTCCCTCCGTCTGGAGGTACTACAGATCAGGACCAAACCCAGTCCCCTGCTAAACTCCTCACCGCAGGCCTTACGTCCAACTCTGATCTGACTCAGACCGGCACTCCTGCTGATACAGAGCAGCCTGTTGTAACTCCAGCCAAAGCACTAAGTACTAAGTCAAGCCAGGAATCAGTGTGGTCTTCTGCACAGACACCAACACCTGTTCCCGGCCCAGTCAATGGCCGCACATCGGGCAGGAAGAGGACTCCAAAGTCCTGTGACTGTTGTGGCCCCAACAGCACGGGGCACAATGTCAGAACCTCGGGGACAGGGAAGGGGAGAGGAAGAGGAAGGGTGGCCGGCAGGGACCCTGGGGTCACTCCTAAAGGGAAAGTGGACCAGTTGACGCATATCAAGAGCTTTGATTCGACCAAGGGGGAAGTAAATGATGAAGATAAGGTGCAAATGCCTGTTGCACTGGCTAATACACAGTCACATACGCCTGTTGCCAAGGCTGTCACCGTCCCCTTGCAGGAAGAATCCCTGAGGAACTGTGTCATTCCAGAGAAAGCAGATGCGCATAAAAAGGAGGATGTGTTGATAGACGGCTCCGCGGCGTCTGATGTAGTAGAAAAAAGAGGTGGGGATTACAAGAGCGCAGATGTCCGATTGATAGGTACTGTGGGCGGGGGGTCACTAGTGGTTAGAGGTCAAGGAAGGGGAATGATGAAAGCCGGAAGTGCATCGAATATGGAAGTTAACACTGAAATTAAAAAGGGAGAAACAGGTGGTGCTGCTGTCTGTTCTAAAACCGAGGCCTTGGCTCCGTCAGTGGTGCAGAGGGAAATTCAAGATGCACACATGCACCACGGGGACCAGAGTGACCCCAGCTCAGTTAATTGTCCACTTAGAAA